CGTGTCGATAAAGTAAAAAATAATTTTAAAAATTCATAACCTCACTTTAAACCGACATAACCTATAAAAAAATAATTAAAAATTTAGCCGAAACAAAGAAATTAATTAGGCCATGCGTCGCAGTTGTTGGATGAAAGATAAAAACGAACGCAGTATGATTTTTTTTCTGCGCTGTCCGGAAGAGAATTAAGAATTAAAAGGCAAGCGAATATTAATTCTCGCTTGGCCCGCGTTTCGCAGACCTTGTCGCGTGCGTATTACAATTGCGCGTTATTATATCGAGTGTATGTTAGCAGCCGAATCTATTTCTGGTTGCGGCGCGCGTTTTTCCTCGCCCAAATGCCGCTCGTTCGCTCATTATGACTTTATGAAATTGAGTAGGTACGTCGACGGCGGAACACTACACGCGCGCTAATTACTTTTACATTAATGCGCGCCGCACAGCGTACGAGTACAAAGCTGCTCATTGTGGTTGATAGGAAGATGGTGCGGATACATTTTGAAGCAACAATATAAGTCGTTAATTGTGATTGTTAACGATGGATTGTTATTGATGATTATTTTCTATTTTCTATTTTGAGTGGTGTATTGTGGTTGTGTTGGAAGTGGTGGCGATGGAGATGTGGCTGATAACTTAATTACAGTCGCCATTAATCACGATCTTTTATTCATGCAAAATGCAAATTATATCGGGCTTTTAATTTACATAGGTTGTGGGTATATGAGGATAAACATGGGCACAGGTGCAAAGGAATAATTTGAGGAAATTTTCTATTTTTGATGTTAGATGAAGAAAATTAACGATATTAACGGTAAATATAGAATCAATAAAATAAACAAAATTTATGAAGAGTAGCCAATAACGATGTCATTGTAGGATATTGTAAAATAAAGTGGTCACGCCATTTTATTTCATTTCATTGTGTTTTTATCTATATTTGATCTGTAGCGTTCGTTACAACATTTATAACTCAAGAACGGCAGAACAGATTTTGATAATTTATGATTTTTTGGATTTGTCTCGACTCCGAATAGCAGAATAATCATTAAAATATTAAAAATTATAATTTAAAGTATGTTAAATATGGGATGAAAATTTGTATAGCAATTCAATCATCGATATAGCTAACTAATTGATTCCGAGATGGCGCTAAAGTGTATTATTAGCATTTCTCATTTTTAAAGCAGTAATATTACGATTCTTTTCATTGAAATCGCCTCATACTGGGTGTTAAACAAGAAAGTAACAATTAATTACGTTTTTTCTTAAAAATACAGGGCAAAGTCATGATTAAATGCTATCTTTTTATACAAATCATGTCTTAAGGTTAAAAACAGATGTTTTTTTTAATTATGAGCCTTAAAATATGCACAATTTCAATATTTGGTACTTGGAGCACAGGTATTTCATAGTAATGCTTGAAATCAATTCTGAATGAATTAATTAATCAAATTCAATTAATTAATCGTGACTATCAGGATATACCTCTTACTATTCTCTCCCCGAAATTACATTCTCCTTGCCTGATCATGAGGTAGTTCCGAGATGGAACGAATCCAGCTCAGCGCACAAGCTCAACCCGCAGTCCGCAACCGCATCCGGGAACCCCGAGGACGATTCCGTGCCCTTAATTAACATTTTATTATCTGCGCACACCATAATGCGTGTCGTTAAATCGGCTATTTACGCGCTTAATTTCACAAAAATATCGGCTTCATATAAATGACAAGGAAAAAGAAATTAAAGAGTTACTTATGAAGAAGTTATTTAAAAATATAAATCTTCTTTTATTTTATTTTATATTAAGTTTATTGTGTTGCGGAGTTTTGTTTCGTTCTGAGTCTCTTTGGGTTTTAGTTTTGTTTTTGCCGTTAGGAATTAATTAAATTTGCTTGAACCCTTTTATCGTTCGGACAAAGTTGGGGTGAATGTCGCAAGCAACAAGTTGTCCTACTAGCCTGCAGCGGTACGGATACGGAAACAGAACGAAACGGTTTTATGATGATTCTTTTATTTCACTCTCGTGCACACCATTTACTAATTACGAATTTATTGGATTTTGGTAAAGATTAATTTTTACTTTCATATTTTTTAATTCATAATTGCAGTGTAATTTATTCTGTTTACGAATTTTCAGCAATTTTACTTTTTTGTGGAGCAATTGTTTTCTTATATTTTTTCATTTTGTTTCTATACATTGTAACATAATATTTTTAACTATCTATTACTCGTGACTTCGTCTCCGCAGTTTTCAGTAAATATGTAATTAATTTAATTTTCTTGTTCAAGATCTGGTAGATGTCAATTCCAACAATAAAACTTACAATTTTAATTTGATAAAATAAGAAATGCCAAAATGCATTTTAACATAATTGTGGAATCAATTATTTATCTCATAGTATCATTGAATCGCTATACCAATTTTCATCTCTTATTTAACACCTTTTAAATAATAATTTTTAATATTTTAATACTTATTATATTATCCTGGACGTAGATTAATCTAACAAATCATAGATCATCAAAATCTGTCCAGCCATTCTTGAGTTATAACTGATGTAACTAACACATATAGATAAATTTAACTGATTACTAATTTATACTTAAATGATTAATGTATCTTCAATGCATTTATTAAACTGATTGCTAATAGAAATATTTACATTCCTATAAGTTAATTTTGGCTCTTCATAAACAAAATTTCATAAAAACACAACGCTTGTTTGACATTTCGTCAATCTTTCATTAAAACATAACCTAAAATTATACATAAACAAAGTATTTCCTAATACTAAATTCACTGAATTTCATTTCGCAATAAAAAACTTAAAATCTGTAGCCACTCCTAAATGATTTTGCATCAAATAAAAATAAATTGTAATTAACTGCGCTTGTGGTTGCAGCCGACATGTTCACGTTCTTCGCTGACAATACCAGGTGTAGGCAACCGCGTGTGCAGCGAATTGAAAATAATGCGTAACTCGTTTGTGTAAAATGCATATACACAGGCCTTTTTTATCGATTACAAATACAATGGAACACTGCCGGCGGTCAGAGCATTAGGTGATACGGATAGGTTGAACAGTGGATTGCCCTCGGGCCACGAACGTGTTTTCCTTCTTTCCGCCCGTATTTTATATGTACACATTGGCGGTTTTACAGCGGATATAAATCGATCGTCGTAATAATATGCATAATAATTTCTATTGCGTAAAATACATATAATGTGCATTCATCATTGTTATTACCTCTTTGACAAATAGTTAAAATATTTACCCTATAGGATAACTAATTATAGTATTAACATACTTATGATATTAATAAAATGCGTTTTAAAAATATTTTTAGATTATTTAGATTTGTGGTTTTTGTTTGTTTATTTTTTGTTGCGGTATTTGTTTTATTTCTGAAGAAAATCCGCAATGGTTTTACTAAAGTTAGATTTTGCGCGTTGCGAGTGGCTTATAGGGTGGAAAAACATGTTTATTTCCATTGCCGCCGGGCGAGTCTTTTATTAGAATTTGTTTGGGGGATGAAGCAAAAACCAAAATACGAAAAACACAGAACCAAAAACGAAAATTGAATGTTAAACAGCAAACAAGATACGAAACATCAGACAAAAATATGTTTCTTATACTTACACGTCTTATTCTAAGTTTTTATGCATAGTTACAGAGATTTAAAGTAATGTGGGTTGCATATCATTATCTAAATAACATATTCTGTTAAATATTGTCTGTTTTTAGTTTTTAGTTTTCTGTCAATTTATCTGCGATATTTTCATTTTGGTTATTATAGAGTTTAAATTACTGTATGCAACCCGTTTTACATGCTGTGTGGGTTGCGTAAAAAAAAACTGTCTTAATTTGATTTCAACTCAAAATTCACCAAAAACCAGTGATTTTTATAAAAATCTTTTTATTGTGTTGTGCGCTTAGCTTCACCAAATAAAATTTAGCGATATAACACTCGCAATAATGCTTTCTCCCCGAAAAGACGAAAGCTTAATGAAAACTGAAGATGATTTATTGTTCAATAACTTAAACGAAAGCTTTCACGAAGTTACGTTTACGACGCGTGCCGAATTATTGTTTAACGCTGCCTCAACACACACATATCAGAATATTCGCCTAAAAAATACTTATCGAAAATAATAAAACAGATGTACAAGTAAAATATTGCAATGAAATAAAACAAAATCAAACGACTGCCAATTTCAACCATGTGTATTTCATATGTGACATCATAAAAACATAATTGATGAACGTGAACGTGAACATAAACATTACGAGGGTATGACACAAATCTAACAGATAAGAAGGGTTGAACATCAGAGTGACAAAATGACATTTAAAATCAAACCAAATAAATGATTCGTTATTCTATGAGAGAATACAAGATGATAAATGTAGTTATAAATTAGTGTTTGAACTATTAAGCACGTTCAGCTGCGCTGAATGCGAAGCGCAAGTGAAAAATTAACACGTTACTAAATCGCCGCAACCACATTAGTAATAATCGTTGCGGCGTGCGTGTGGCACTTGCTTGGCGTGCGCACGAAACTATACATCATCTCGGAGATTTCAGTAAAACGTCATCTTTTCGCACACATCGCGTTGTTTTGCAACAAATAAAAAGTCTACTTCAAAAGTGCATGATGTATCGCGTTCAATCACATGTTACCACTTTTCCGAACGTTCGCGCGCGACGTCAATCTAATAATAAACGCACGTAAATGCGTACGCTACACGCATACGCAGACATAACCTAGTTTTGTACGCGTATGCTTTCCACCAATAAACACACGTTAATTGCTCGCTAGACGTTAATTTAATATTCATCGCGGATATGCATTAATGGCAAAAATTTCATTTAGTCATTTGTGCCGAATTCATTAGCGCTCACCGCGTTTTACATCAATATTTAACAACATGTCATATTGGTTGCCTATACTAAATTCAATTAAATTTTAATTTTTTCGTTTTTGGTTTCATTTTAGGAATTATCAATCGTGGTGATTCTTTTCGTCGACGACGTTCACGCAGCAACAGTTTGTGTCCGCCATTGGGCACACCCTCACCATGCGAGGACTCGGATGCCGCTGGGGACATTTCCCGCTACACGGTGGCTCTTTTGGGCACGCAGGGCGTGGGCAAGACGGCGCTCATCAGTCAGTTTATGACGTCGGAATGCATCAATGCCTACGATGGCACTAAAGGTACGAGATTTGTGATTTATGATAACAAATTTAATTTTATCCGGCCGACGAAAATATTTTCGTTTTATCGTGCGCGCTTGTTTGGCTAACTTCCGGGTTGCCTGCATCATGGCATCCGGAGACGAGTTTAGAATTTCAGATTGTGAATATGGTGAATACGAATGTGCGCATGAATGCAATCAACGTGGACCTATATCCCAGCTATCCGCAATCTTGACTTCTAAAAAATATTACAAAAGAAAATGTAAACGATTTTTTTAAAGGTTTTGAATATTTTGTAACCGGTTTTGTACCTAGCAATGTAAATAGGTTATGTTATCATGCTGAGCGACGTCATCCTGTTGCGGTTTCCTGCAAGTCCTGCAACAACGGGCGCTAAATCCTTTCGCAGAGACACAGAACACGGCGCTATCCACGCGGCTTTATTAGCTTTCAACTTGGAGAGCGTTTTGAGCACGTTGCTCGTACGTGACGTGCGTATCACTCCGCCATGTGTGTAGCGCATGTTGTGGTCGTAACTGGCAACAGGAGCGCAGAAGCATGGAGCACTTTGTAAACGGCTCGAATCTTGTAGTCTTGTGCCACTGCAGCCAACTATAACTACATAACAGGCGGGATTTTGCCGGACACAAAGCTATTCGCATCACAAAAGACTGTGCAAGTGACGCACACGCATACAGCGCAAATATTCCATTAAATTTTTATGTTATTTTATGGAAAATGCAAGTCAACAGAGGTAAACAACGTCGTTGTTTTGTTTTTAGTTGTTTTCCGTCAATTTCACGCCGATATTTTCATTTTTATGTTATTATTGAGTTGAAATTACTTTATGCAACCCTTTATACGTGTTGTGTGGGTTGCGTTCGAAAAAAAGCGAATGTCTGATTCCATTTCAACTCAAAACTCGAATCTATTGAAATCGAGGGCGCATAAAAATAGTTTTACGATCGCTAATTGAAAATGTTTTATTACGACAGTTATGCGACACGTTCGAGTTTTACTTTCTTCGCTCGAATTAGGTTATACACATATGAAAAATGCACATTTTCATCGTTTCATTTCAGTAAACAAAACATTTTCGTTGATTTTCGTTGAATTAACGTAAAATTGCCAAAAGGATTTCCAAGTAAACGTCTCTGAGTAAAGATTTAATGCATCTGCGTTTAATGTATTTTCTTCTGAAAACTTTGTTTATTTATGTTTGTATTTTCCTTGTTCCGGTGCTTGTTTTTTATGATTGAATTTGTCGCGGTCGCAACCTCGTTCGAAAGCTTTTTAAACTTCCACAGTAATTAAGCCCCCCGCTTAGGAAACACTTTAACCGCTTTAACGCTTTTCAAACGCTGCGTTAACGTCACACCGCCGCCTTGCGCTGTGTGTGTTTTTTTTATTGCCTACCTGGGCGAGAGATAATAAACGAACGCCGCAGACAATTTGATTATGAATTTATGCAAGCGCGCGAGCACGCCGGCCATTTTACGACATAACCTCACACGTGCAGCACGCGCAGACCAGCGGCGGATAAATATTTATTTCGACGGTTTGCTTTTTTGTTTACGCGTCTGCGGCGAGGTTTCACGCGAATAACACGAAATTAAACGCTAAAAGCAAAACTATAAACGCATAGGTTATTGATTCACGTCGGCTGCGTTTATTTACGCTCTTTTGAAACGTTTTTTTAAGTTTCGTTTTCTGCGCTGTTTATTGCTTGATCACGGACAAGCAAATATTTTAGCAATGTATACCACCTAATAAACGCACACGAATAACATTTAATTGTTGCGCCATCTGGTGGGATTTATTTTTAAATTTAGATTAGATTTTGAGATGATTTTTGACAAATTCAATTGGATGTAACTCCTTAATACAATTTGTACATGTCTTGATTCGATCAAGGGCGTGGAACGTAGAGTAATCCGCTTTTCGCTTTTCATTTATCTCTGATGCGCTTCCGTACTGAGATTTTATTTACTTCGCCGTGAAGAAATCATGTGGGCGTAAATTTCTTTGAAATAAATTGTTGAAATACTTGGAAAAGTACTTAAAATTGATAAAGTTGACTATTGTTGTCAGATTATTTGACAGTTATAGATAATGCAGTCAGATGGCGTATTTTGCAGAACAAACCAATCGCTACCTGTGGAAACTTTTGTTGTTTTGTTGTTTTGTTTCGATTGGTGCAATTCATCGCCGCAAACCAAGCATGCGAACAGTTTCACTTTGCATTGTTGGCGTATTCTGTTGTAAATTCTAAATTAAACGCGTTATCAGCAGAAATTCCGCTCGAAAATAACACAACGCCAAAATGCAACCCAACATACACGAAATACAAACAACACCTAACATCAACATGCAGCATTAATCTTAACCTAGTTAAACGCGCAAATAATAAAATAAAAATTACAAGACGTGTGCGAAAACCGAAAACCCGGTTATATTTTGTGTTTGTTGGCAGGAAAAATTGCGCAATGTGGGTCAAGTACTTGCGCGTCGCGCTGCTTCGAATCAATTGGGAATATATTGAATTTTTAGTGTGATTGCAATCCTACCTTCCTTCCGATGAACTCTCCGGCGACTCGCAAACGAATCAACAATCGCTGCAAATCATTAATGAGGTGCAAAAGCAACCGGATTTATGAATACATTGAAAATAAATTTAATAACCGAAAATATTTACAAATGCATTTAAAAGTGTATCAATGTGTTGAAGCCTGGAGAGAGAGTTCGTTGCCACTGACCTATTTCAAGTTCGTTCAGCCATGAATAAGTTTAATTTAGAATGTGTGTATTTTAAGAGCGCAGTATTCTATAAATATGTAAGACATCTTTTCCTATAGCATGCATGCGGTGCAGCGCGAGTTCGTCGAGTATTTATGTCGTGTGACTGAACGGGTTGCATTTTGTCGGAGTCGCCGAAATTTATTTTACATAAACCATACGCACACACAGGATATTCCAATTGAAATGTGTGCTATAATTTTTTCGTGTATATTTGGTTGCAGATATGTTGGGAAGTCAAGCAGTGTCAATAATGTTGAATGGCGAAGAATCAGAGCTCACTTTTGCAAACATCTCAAATTCCAAGGTAAAAATTAAGTTTTTGAAGTAATACTATCAACAGAATCAATAAAATTTATTATTTTAATGACTAGACATTAATTTTTGTGTTTTTGGTTATGATTTTAAGGATATTGACAGAATTAACCCACCTGATGCGTTTGTCATCCTTTATTCGGTGGTGGATAAAGCAAGTTATTTGAAAGCAGAAGGTGAACTTGCGCGTTTGCAAGATGCCGAACTTTTACGCACGAGGCCCGCCATCTTAGTCGGAAATAAAGTGGATTTGGCTAGGAGTCGAGCTGTATCAACCCAAGGTAACCTAAAAACTTAATAAAACATTTTCTTAAACACAATTTTAAACTATATTAATAATAACAATTTAAATCATATGATACTCATATTTGTATTTAATTTAAAGATGGCAATGCTTAGCATGCACGTTCCGCGCAAAATTCGTCGAGATATCAGTAGGCATCAATCACAACGTCGACGAATTACTGGTCGGCATCCTCACGCAGATTCGGCTCAAAAGTTATCAGAATGAAGCGTGCGAAGCCAGCCAACAGCAATGGTTCAAGAGTCGTGGCGTTGTGCGCGCTAGCATGAAAGCACGCCAGATGTTCACGTGGCTCTTTGGCAAAGAGGACTCCAAGTTCAAGAACTGCGAGAATCTGCACATCCTCTAGCTTCCACGCGTGCGCACTAGTTAGTTAAGTTTCTATCATTTTGTAAAATTATTCATAAAACAAGCATACTAACATATAGACTTATCTAACATTTTCAAACATTTAATTTAAACTGTTTCCACAAGGCAGAAACAAAAACATGAACAGAAAACTTGTAAATGTGAATGTAAAGTAATCTTAAAAGTTACACAACTTTCAGGCCTAACTGTATAACTTCGACAAATGTGTGTGGAGCGCACAAATTGTAAAAGTGTAGCGCAGCGCCCTCTAACATAATCAAACCGAACCAAAATCAATCATGTCGACCAATACCTACCTTCTCATAATGGCAATCTGTATCTGTTGTCGCGCAAAAACTGATTGTAAACGACTAACAAAACAAAACAAGAGTATATAGATTAATGTGTATAAAAATAAGTTAGAGCCGTGAGAGAAACGCATGCGAATGTGAGTGAACGAAGTGTGTGAGTGTTCGAAATTATAATGCGGCCGCTGCTCCGCACCATTGATTAATAAATGACAATAAATCGGAGACGTTTGTCTCGGGATACATTTTCGCCGCCATGTTGAGCTTCGTCCAGACGTCTTTGTTAGCCGCCTGTTCTGAATGTACGAAAGACACCAGAGGCGCACGTAGAGGATAACCGGACACAATACACGCGTTTTTCCACTTTCCAAGCTGGATTCATACATCATCCTGTCATCCATCGGTAACTCCTTGAATTTTTATATTTTAAGTTTTAATTAGTTTATAATTTGTTTATTTTTCATACCTGATCGACTTTTTGATCCATGCTAATTGCCAACACCCATTCACGCACACGATCGTGTTCGTCCTTATCATCGTTGAGATATAACTGTTCGGGGATTGGAATGTTTGAAGGGAAATCTGTTTGGCTCAGGTCCGTGTGATCGATCAACTGGGATTCTTCATCTTCAATCGCTTCGCAGATATCTAGGTAATGATTGAGGAAAACGAAGGCTTCGGAATTTCGTCCTTCTGCTCGTAAATCCAAACCTGTGTTGTTGAAAGGATATAAAAGTAAGTACAATTAAAAGTTTTTAATGAGGTGTGTAGTACCAGCTTCGTAGAATCCTTTATCGGCTGGTATGATATCTGTGTAACGCAAAAGTGCGACGGATATTTTCGTTCCGATGTTTTTTAATACTTGCACTTGTCGACAAACGCAACGCACAGCGTAGTAATGCACAATTAAGAGGAGCGTTTGGAAATGTATTTTGATTTTCATGTCGATGTTTGGTGTAATGTCCAAACCATTAACCTAAAAATTTAACAACAACAAAAGCATTATTTTGAGGTTAAAACAGATTTTAACCATAAATTTGAAAATTTAACCTAAAAATTTATTAAAAACTCACCAAATCAAGTAGCATTTGTCTTAATTGTGACCATTGATAGTAACTATCCGCTTCGGACATATTCGGCATCGCAATCACATTGAACGCAATCCGATTGTAAATGTTAAAATTACTCGCAATCACCGGTGTTGTATAAGACAGGAACAACTGTAGTGCCTCCATTGTAAAACCGTCTTTCAGCAACTGTGAAGCATACATTGCAACATATTTATGCAAAACATTACCACCATAGGTTTTAGCTTTCTCTATACAACGAATCCATTGTCCTTGCTCTGCTAACAAATCCAATGCTCCCATTATATCTACAAAATTTCAATTTATAACCTCAAATTTACACATTTAACAAATTTAAGGTTAGAACACATACCAACATCAGCCAATTGCTCAATATTGCCATCTTTTGCAAGTTGATCCTTGTTACAACTCTCGATATAACCCAAAAGACTCGGATCTAATTCTTTAGCAACTTTTCGAGCGTTTTTCCAATCATCAGCCAGTATAAAACAATCAATAGCTTCTTTTATCATGTCAGCACTTATATACAACTGTGCTGCAGCTGTGTGTTCTGATAAATCCCTTAATCTATAAAAAAAACAACCAAAAAATCATTAAAATCAAGAAATTTTTCAATTGTATCAAATTTTACCTTGGTGCTAATTCTTTTATAACATCCTCAGCTTCATTCCCAAACAAAAACTTGTTTATCATATCAGCCGCGCGTAATAACGCTCTCCTCACAATATCCTCGTCAGCAAAACTCGTATCAACTTGCAGTAAACATTCAACTGATTGTTTATGCTGCCCGGACATAGCCAATTCATTAGCACGCGATAAAATCATTTCCATGCTCATATCCGCGCCACCGGTGGCTCTTTTAATCGCATTATACTCTGTTTGAAGGCTTGGTAATAAATGCGGAGTATAATCCTTACACACCCTCAAAGCATCCGACCATAATTCAGCTTTCTTATAGTTTTGTATAATCATTTCCGGACTCTGTGCGCGTAACATCAACGATTCAAACTCAGTGTAGTTTTTCTCCTGGAAACATTGCAGCGCCTGCGCTTTCAGCACATCCACAACTGAATGTGGTTCGTGTGTTTCCGCAATACGAATCGCACTCTGCCAGTCGTTAGCATGCGTGTACATTAACACAGCTTCTTTTGGTTTCCCAGCGAGGATAAACTCAGTTTCGGCTTCGTTGAATTTCCCATCGTCTTCCAGCGCCATCGCGTAGTTGTAATGCACATCAATTTTCTTCGATGGTAAATTTTTACACAACTGAAACGCGAAGTCATATTGAAAAGTCTCGCATGCATAATCAATGCACGATTCTAAAATTCCAAACTTAGTGAGTAGTTTAATAGCTGAATCTATGGGTAATGTCCGCGCCCAGAGGAACGCAACTTGATTAGCAGCTGTCGCGCCGCCATTTTGTTTCGCTACACGGTAAGCTTCCTCCCACATATTAATAGTTCTATACATATTCATCGCTGCTTTCCATTCATTCGTAGCAAGATAATGCACTTCGGCAGCGCGATGTTTGCCTTGAGTTTCCATCTGCTGCGCGAGATGCATGTGCGTCGTAGATAACAACTCCGGATGAAATTGTTCAACGAGTCTTATCATATGATCATATTGTTCCGCGTGTTTGTACATTGTAATCGCAAGATCCGGTGAGTTGACAGCCAGATACAACTTTTCAGCCTCGCGGTATTTCCCGTCTTGTTTCAGCTTTTCCGCTTGTTTTAAATACATATCGCCCACATCATCCGGGTCTAAATATCTTGATGCGATTATGTGGGCTTTTTCCCATTGCCCGGCTTCGTTGTACATGTCAACTGCTTCTTTATACATTCGTGCTTTGATAAACATTTGTTCCGCTGAGGTGTAATCACGTTGTTTTGCCAGGTGTAGTCCAAGTTGAGAGTAATACTTCTGTAAGTGATGAGAGTCATGATCATCAACAACGTTGATAATGTGTATTGCTTTCTTCCATTGTCGTGCTGCGATTGAAGCATCCAGGGCTTTTAGAGTTGAACCTGCTTCGATGTAGTGACTTATCGCAGCGTCTGTTTGTTTTGATTCAACAAGATGATCACCCCATTCTTCTTCTAATAAGACAACTTGTTCTGGGTCGATTACACGCGCCATGTCAACTGCTTTATTCCAGATTTTACCTTTTCTGTAACATTCCATTGCTTGTTCTGTTTTGTTTTGTTTCACGTAAATCTCAGCTGCTTGCTCGAATAACTCCTGTTTTATTAGTTTCTTTAAAATATTTGTGACTAAAGTATGATCTTCCATTAAGTCATCATGGTTTAGTAATAAATTAGTAATTCGTGATAGTTTGTTAGACTTGTCATACATTGTCAGTGCGCGTTCATACTTTCCTTCTGCTTCTAAAATTTGTCCCGCTTTTTCAAACTGTTGGGTTTTTAGTAATAAATTCATATATTCTTCTTTAAGTTCTGGTAATTTTTCATAACCTCGTTTTTCAGCGGTTTCAATAGCTTCATTCCACTTATGCAACTTTTTGTACATGTCTAATGTAGCTTCTAGGTTACCATGCTCTAAATAAATCCCCTCTGCTGTTTCTAAGTCTCCGTTGAGTATACTCAACTGTGCCCAGACTTCCTGGTTGTCTTCATCTTTCAATAATTCATCTTCGATTTGTTTAATACAATAAACTTTGGAAATATTACCAAGTGCTGCATAGCAACGATCAAGTAGTTTTAAATTTTGTTGTTTGATAGCTATATTTGACAGATTGAACCACATTGCTTCCGCTTCTGGTGCATTTCCAATGGTTTCAAGGAAAAGCACAGCTCGTCCATAGTCACTATCATGAATTGCAGTACCAAACTCAACTAAACCTTCATCCAGCTCAAAAGTTAGGTTAACATTGCCATCGAGTGCAAACACTTCCGTTTTGTTGTTGAATCTAGCCACTTCATAAACTTCACCCTTGATATTCATGATTGTAGGACGTTCAGGTAGGTCAATATTGTACCAAATCGCAAGAGTAGTTCCCGATTGAGCGATGGCAACGTCCGAACTTTCCACCCATTGAACAAAAGTCACCCCGCTGAATATACAAAGCCGATTTCCGGTCATAACCTCAACCAAAAATAATCTCTGCTTGATATCTCTAAACAACAATTTGTGACATGTCTCCGATAATTCCAACCAATCAATTTTCGATTCGTGACTAATTTGAGATATACCCATATTGTATATGAGGTCTGTTATACAGATTGTTTTCAGATCCAGTAAATACGCCAATTTTTTATTGTCAGTCTGCGAGCGTTCATTCAAACGCACGCTGATTAGATGCGGATTGGCGAATTCAGTCCGCACGGATGCGAGCACGGTATTATCACCGTATTCAATCAGAGACAATTCGCCCGCGTTGAATACCAGACATACATTCGGATTTTCGAAATAAAACTTTTCATGTTTGCCGGAGTTATTCCAGGAAACTTCACTCATCAGGTTTTTATCGATGTCCGCAACCAATAAGGTGCCATGTGTGCGGGCGACTACAAAATTGTCACGCCCCATAACCTTCAAATCTTCGATTTCTTTACCGTAGTCCGATCGTAGGATTAAACCTGCACTATCGTTATCAAGGTTTTAATTAATACCTGACTGGGCCCCACGTAGGTTATTTCAAGTTTATCTTTCCAGATTGTACGTTTGAGTACAGACTCAAATAGACAGACATAACCTCCGTGTGTACCGCACGCAATACGTGAACCATCTTTTTCCATGATAATGACGTCACTGAATACATGTTTGGGATTGTTTTCGGTGGAGATTCTTCCCACATGGATAATGATGGATTCCAAGCGAATACACGGACTTTGTCATATCCGCCAACGGCCACAGCCTGAATTAAAACGTTTTTAATTAGTTTAAATTTTAATTTAAAAGTTAGTAGAATTTAATTGTGGTTATGTTTACCTGTCCGCTCGGACTACAACAAGCAACCATGAATTCATTCTCATTTTGATCCTTGGTATAGTCGAATTGTTTTGCAATGCGGCCATTGTTGTTGTACACAACAATACGTTTATCGCTCCCTCCGGCGAATACGAACCCCTGCGGCCATGAGAGGGCATAAGGTGGCACCGAATGGGTAAATAATCG